AAAAAAAAAAAAAAAAAAAAAAAAAAAAAAAAAAAAAAAAAAAAAAACAAAGAGGAATGACACCGGCCTCCCTCGTTTATCTTTTCCTTTTTCTCCCGCGCAAAGGAGAAGCCGGAGGACCTTCGCGTCTCCCATTCTTCCTTCCTTTCCTTTCTTTACCTCTCAGGATTTAAGGAGGAGGGAAAGAAGAAACTATAATGCCCCCGACGCGACCTGTTTATTTTTAGTACATGGAGCCCGACCCATCAGCATCCTATACCAACTGTATACCTGCAGGTGCTTTTTTTTTCTTTTTTTTAATGCGCATTCTATAGGTATTGTATACCTATATTGTTTCACCCTCAAATAGGTGTAAATAACTGTACTCTTGTAGCTTTTAATTCAGTTTTTTTAAATGATTTTTATCACGTTTTTCAACCAATGAACCAACAAAAGTGTGACGAGTCGTAAAGTGATTGGGTGACTACGAGGGGGTATATATATACGTCTCATTGGCCGTCGAGAGAAGAGTCTCCAATTGGGCCTGTACGTATGAAACACTTTCCCTCCAAAGGTATCAAAAATCCTTTTTTTTTTTTTTTTTCTTTTTTTTTTCCCCCTGCCAAGCTTATATAACAACGCATCGCGTGTCCGATGAAATTTCGCTGCGATTCGCGAAGAAGAAGCGCCAAAGTAACTTTCATTTCACGCAGGTTTATTTTCCCTCCTCCTTCGCAGCTTATCCCGCGGTGCAATTTACAGACCAAGGTCGCGATAACCCTTTCTTTTTTTCCTTACCCACAGCCTATATACATATATTATTATGTACAGCGGGGGTGAGGAAAGTGCCATTTTTCTAACCCACGTGGTTTCAACAATACCCGAGTTGGTGGTTATAATAATATAATATGCGTTGTACGGGAAGTAACGTAATCGAGATAAACGAAGCATTGAGTGTAAACCAAAGGTACACACATGTATTATGACCGAATGGATTTCGCGCGACGTCCGGCTTTAAAATTTAGCCAAGGCACCACACCAGTGTATACATATATATATATGTACGAGGCAAGGGAAAAGGAGAGGCGAAGACAAAAAAAAAAAAAAAAGGTACGCGAGAACCAGTTTGACCCTCCCCCTCCCTTTGAGCTTGAGACCCGTGTACACGTATACACGATACACTCTCACGTCTGGAATCCAGGGGTGGAGGAGGAGGGAAAATTAGTCTCGGGAATATCTTTTTTTTTTTTTTCTTTTCCGTTTGTTTGTCCCGCCATCGGCGCGATGATGTGACCAGCGCCCGGGAGCATTACAACCATATCACGCAACATCGCGACATATTCGCCGAGATGACCATGTGTACCTTATATAAATATATACACGTGTTCATATGATATAATCAAGGGATTTTTGCATCGATTCTATATAATATAAACGCGAGCTCTGTTGTTTATTATTGTTTTTTTTTTTTTTTTTTTTTTTTACATCATCATAGGAGAAATCGGTAAAGTATATACTCGCGGTGAGATTTTTCAAAACATCGTTCACCACGCAGGTGGGCATGTATATGTGAACACACGAAAAGAAAGAAAAAAAAAAAAAAAGGGTGTTATGCAAGTCCGAGAGGGTCCATCCAATCCATCCATATTATCCAGAAATGTACGTGTTCGGGTTCATGTGTATACCTATACATACGGAGAGAAAGAGATCGGGGTCCCAGTGGTTCTTGTACAGGGGACCTACCGGCGCGGCGGCGCGTCGAGTTTGCTCTCCGAGCGGTAGTACATATATATGTATACATGTACACTTAGGGCCCCGGAGTGCGGGTGGAATTCCAGCGTTGCCAGATTTTTCTCTCCCCGCCGCGTTTTGACTCTCTCGGTTCGACACTCTGTGACTCACTTTGTTTGTCAACAATCTTGTCTTTACGGGGTGTCCCCTCGTTTTTTTTTTTTTTCTTTTTCTTTTTTGGTCAAGTGCACAAGTATTTTTCTTTTCATTTGTATCGCTTTTCAAAAATGTTTGTCGTGCGGGTGTGTGTGTTCATATACATAGGAAAAAAAAGGGTCCATTTATCGAGCTTGTTTTAATCGTTTGGATATAATCCAAATTACGGATGTTTTTATGGTCAACGCGTACGTGCAAAACAAAAACGCCGCCCCAGCTTTTGGTTTCACAATCGGGGGGTGGGACAGCAGTACCTATTAACAATGGAATCGGTGGAAATGGATGAAAAAAAACCCTCGATTTTCTTTTTTTTAATAAGTGATTGTGAAAAGTTTACACTAATACTTTACAAACAGAAGAAATTTAGTTACGGTTGAATTTACAAATAATCGCCCCCTTCCTGTCGTGACTTCGTGGTGTTATCATTTTTGTTGGATCCCCAAACCTTAGACGATTCCATTAAAATTTTCATTGATTCGTCTTACTTGGAATCGGAAATTTATACTTTCTTCCAGCGTGTGGAAAAAAAAAAAACGAACCTTATGGAGCAAAATACACCTGTTCGTCTGTTCCTTATTTTTTTTATTAACAAGAGAAGTGAGATCAAGACTGTCTCTTTAGCAAATCTTTTTTACCTGATCTTTTCCATATCGTCGTTTGTAAGGAAAAAGGTACCAATTGGTCAGAGCTTGATAATTAGACGATTTTTTTAACACAAATAAATGAACTATCAATGATTGAATATTACAATAAAATTTTCATAATTTCTCTGAAATTTTTCCCTATTTTCTTAGTTTTACTAGCAAATGTAATATTCCAAATGTTAACAAGTAATACAATAAGACATACCATAATACGATTAAAGAGAATTGTTATAGCCTATACTTCAATATTATTTTGGGTATCACGAGTAATCAAATTAACAAAACTTCAACTAGTAGAACAATAAAGTATTGTGTAGGAAATAACGAAATTGACTTTGATATTGTACTCAAATAGTGACATTTTTTATCCCGAAATAGATACTATTTGACAATTTCAGTATATCGTGTACTTATTAACACTTAAGATCGAGGGTATATCTTCATTACAATGTTTTTTTTTTTTTCTAATCGTCACATACCTTTTTCCTCCCAAACGACGAAATATATAGCCAAGTAATAATCGTCCCTCGGATTGATCGATTCTTCTACAAAGATCGAGTTTCCAAAAACGTACATTTCAGCGCTTCGTATATTAAAACTGAAAGGGATGAAAAAAAAAAAAAAAAAAAAAAAAAAAAAAAAAAAAAAAAAAAAAAA